GAAAGTGGGCGAAATCGCCTGACTCGAATACTTCGAGACGCCAGGATCTCAGGATGGACACCGCTGGCGGAGGCCTCTGGAGACTTTGGGGCCCTCCATTGTCGGCGCCCACGTGGCGGCGGGGCGAAGGTGGTGGCTGTCCGAGAGGGAGGCCCTCTCTGCCCTCTGATCCGATCCTTCCTTTGGATCCTCTGCGAGGGGGCCGATCCCTTCAAAACTTCAAGGGAGCCCCCTACCTTCTCTCTGCAATGACTCGCGAACCCTGCCCATGCGGGTCCCACCGCCGCTGGGGCGTCATCGGACGCACCCGCTGGGGTTCGCTTGGCTGCAGGCATCCTTCGGAGTCTGAGCCCCGGCCAGCTCTTCAGAAGTCCGACCTGCAGTGGTGGAGCTTCACATGCGGTCGCCTATTCTCAGAAGGCGCCCTGCCGCCGTCGCCCTGCCCTGGAGGGCCCTCGTCGCCCTCGTCGGCTCGGACCCCTGCGGGGCCTTCCGGCCGTGGGGGTGGCCGCCAGTCGGGATCTCGCCGGCGAGATCTCGGGTCCCTGGGCCCGAAAAGCGGTCCTCGGGCAGGTGCCCCAACGTGTTCTCGGGCCCCCGTGCCAACATACCGCCTCGACGATGCGCCGACCTTTCCCGCGGCACCCCTCGTTTGCCCTTGTCTCGGCCTCGCCCCAAAGATATACACTGTGTGTGCGTGCCCCCGAGGGGCTGCGCGGGCTCAGAAATCCTGCAGCGCGCTTCCGGCCACACCGCCTGGGTAAGGATACGCTGCAAGACGTTTGTGCCAAGTGTATGTTCGGATCGGGCGAGCGCCTCGGAGGGGGGCCCGTAGTACCAGTGCATCCTGTAACGTCCCATTGTCTGTCTCGGGCTTGTACGATACCGTAGGGTTTGCGTCGTATCGACGGGCGGCGACCCCGCCGCTGTCACTCAGCGTGGAGCGCCGCCGCCGACCCAGAACCCGTCGATGCTGAGGGATCAGACGTTTCGGAGACGGCCGATCGTTTAAGCCCCAGACGGCCGAAAAGGGTTGTTTTGTGGGGCTCACAGAACCCCCCGAGACGGCCCAAGAGACCCCGAAGCCGGCCCAGGAGGCCCCCAAGACGGCCTCAGGGAGGCCCAAGAGGGCACCGTTCGAAATCATGTTCCCTGAAGCGTTGAAGGATCCCCGCGGTGCCTGGAACCAAAGCCGGGGGTCGACACGGCACGAACCTGCCGTATTTACCCGCGTGCCAGCGGCGCGTGGGCGGCGAGCTCCCGGGGGAGTGCCCGTCGCCGCCGGCGAGACCTCCCCCCCCCGCCCTGCTCGGTGGCCCTCGTGCCGAGGGCCGGCAGATCGGGTGGCAGCCGCCTCGCAGATCACAGGCTGCGAGGTCCTCCTCCTCCTCCTCCTCCTCCGCCTCCCCCTCCTCCTCCTCCTCCTCCTCCTCCTCCTCCTCCTCCCCCTCCTCCTCCTCCTCCTCCTCCTCCTCCTCCTCTCTCCATCCTCCTCCACTCCTCCTCCTCCTCCTCCTCCTCCTCCTCCCCTCCTCCTCCTCTTTCTTCTCGTCGTCGTCGTCCCCTTCTCCTCCTCCTCCTCCTCCTCCTCCTCCTCCTCCTCCTCCTCCTCCTCTCCCTCTAGCTATTTCGCACTCGAGAGTGTTGCAGGCGCGTACTTCGAAGTGGCGTCGTGCACGCGAGCCAATTTCCGTGACACCTGTGTCCAGGATTCCTTCACATGGGCACTCTCCAATAGGATGTGCTGCCAGGCCCGGAGCACCCCACGTGGGTGTGCCGATGTGGGGCTGGCGGCAATTGGGCCAGCGGGCTCAAGTGCAGGGGCTGCGGGGCAGCAGCCCCGCAGAGCAGCAGCCCCGCAGCACGTCGCCTCGCCAGCTGCGGCGGCCGCTCAGAAGCTCAAGACTCCCTCCCAGCGAGAGCCGAAGTGCGCATGGGCGCGCGGTCCGCCAGGAGCAGATTCGGCGGCTACCAAGGAACTCAAGGCGGATCTCGTTGCCCTGCGCTCGCAGGTCGGCGGTGGCGGCGGGAGCGCTCCCCGTCCAGGTGTGCAGCATCAGCCCCAGTCGGACCTGTCGTTCGGTCAGGTCTTGCAGTTCCGCAAGCAGTGCAACATCGACGAGGCGGTCATCTCCGAGGCCCAGGAAAAGCATATCGCTGGGCAGGAAGCCGAGCCGACCTCGGCCGTTGCGGCTCACCTCGGCAGCTCTCCTGGGGTGCTGCTTGGCCAGGGTTGTGAAGGGAACCCAGCCATGGCGACGAGAAGCCCCCCAGAGGCTCAAATAGGGCGAGACAAGCTCGAAAGCCGAGCTCCTCGACTGGAGGCAGGCCTCTCCCTTCCTCCTCGTCCTCCGTCTCTTCTCTGTTTCCTCCTTCTCTTCCTCCCCCTTCCCTCTTTCCTTCTCTCTCCTCATTGCCCGGCCTCCCGCGACTGCGTGGGGTACCAGAGCCTTTCTTCTCGACTTGCATCTCCTGCTCGAAAGTGCAGCGAGGCCCCCGGAAGTCCCAACACTTTCCGTGGGGCCTGCTTGCCATCCCGAGCTGTTTCTTGACGGCCCCGGGGCCGGGCGAGGCTTGCGCGGCGGCTGGGCGACCGGGCGCCCCTGTCCCTGGGCGGTTCGGGGGCACGCCGCCTCCCTGCTGCTGCTGCTGCTGCTGCTGCTGCTGCTGCTTCTCCCCCCTTCTCCCCCCCTTCTCCCCCCCTTCTCACCCTTTCTTCACTTCCTCCCCCCCTTCTCGTCTTCCCTCCTCCCTCCTTCCTCTTTCCTGCCTTCTCCCTCCTCCTCCTCCTCCTCCTCCTCCTCCTCTTCCTCCTCCGCAGTGGGAGCCCTCCCCCGTTTTTTTTTTTTTTTTCGCGCGCGGCCTGCGCCCGTGCCGCGCACGGCGGCAGGCCGGCGGGCCCGAGGTGCGCCGAGCCCACGCCGGAGCTCGGCCGTTCCAGGGCGGGGGAAGATCGGCGCCACCCCAGCACACCAATACCACAACCCTCGTCAAGATTAGCCTCAAAATTAACTCTGACGTGGTTGAACTGCTTGTCGGAAGATCTGGGGCCGAGTATCGATGAGTGCGGGGTACTTGCATGCGCCGCCCCTCCAATGTCAGTCGACGTCAAGCTGTCGAGTCAACCTCGGTCAGACTATCTTTGCCCTCGCCCCGACATTGAAGGGGCGGCGTGTCGACATTGAGGGGCGCGCCGAAATCGAAATGACGTGCCAGCAATTTTGACGAGGGTAGTATGCTTAAGTCGGGCGTGTCCCTCTACAGGAGGAATATACAAGAATCACCAAAATGGACGATTGTTGGATTATTTCCCGAGTATTTTTCTGACTATTTCTCAGTTTTCCTCCAAACTCCGCATGTCGGGGGACACGCCCGACCTGATACTGATACTATGTGTGCGCCGCCCCACCAGGGGCGACGCGCGCACCGAAAACTGTTACATTATATGCGTCGTGGCGGGCGCTTTGTGGCCACACCGCTCGGGAAGCGATATGCTACAATATGGGCCTATACTGTATGTTCGGGTCGGACGCGTGCCTCCGGGGAGGACATATAGTGCTAGTGTGTCTCTGTGCGTCCCAGAAGAGGGAGGAAACCAAACATATCCCTGCTCTTCTTCCCGTGATATTCGACGCCGCGAAAGAGCTGCAGCATCGGCAGACTTCCCGACCCGAGCCCCAATCCTGGTGTTTCTCGCGCCACTGTTCGAGCCAGCGATCTGTGAGGGCCGTGGGGCCCGAAACAGAGCGAAGCCGCCCGGTGTGAACACGCTGCAAGACTCAGATTTCAGAAGCCCCCCCCTCCTCCTCCCTCATCCTGTTCCTCCTCCACCTCCTCCTCCTCCGCCTCCTCCTGCCTCCTCCTCCTCCTCCTCCTCCGCCTCCCCCTCCTCCTCCTCCTCCTCCTCCTCCTCCTCCTACTCCTCCTCCTCCTCCGCCTCCTCCTGCCTCCTCCTCCTCCTCTTCCTCCTCCTCCTCCTCCTCCTCCTCCTCCTCCTGCCTCATCCTGCTCCTGCTCCTCGCCCCCCCCCCTCTGGCAGGCCTCCTCCGGCAGCGCCGCGGAGGCCGCGGTTCGCGGGGAGCGCTGGACCGGCCGGCCCTGCCCCCCCCCCCCCGCCACCCCACGACAGGCCAGCCACAGCTGGGGGAGCTGTGGTCCTTACACCCCTGGGGGGCCCAGCGATTTCGACACCCCTCTCCAGAGATCGTCGATGCGATGGGTTCCCCCAGGGGGGTATGGACCACAGCTCCCCCAGTTATCGCTGGTCGGCACGACGTTCTTCGGGGGTGGACAGGACCTCCACCCTGGCACTTGCACTACTGAATCAGGGGAACACAAAGTGACATAAACATAAAAACTCGGAGGTCCGCGCGGATTTCTCGGATCGGCGCGGGGGCCTCCCGGCGGCGCCTCCGGCGCCGCCCCTGGCGCGCTCCGTGCGCCAGGGAAGGGGGTCCAGTGCCGATCCGAGAAATCCGCACGGCCCTCCGAGTTTTCATGTTTGTCTTTTTTTGTTCCCCTTATGAATGGTCCGTTTTAGGTTCTCGAGGGGGCGCCGCGGTCGTCCCCTTCCAGGCTTGCGCCCGCCAGGTCTGGGCCCGAGGTCGTTCTCACTGAAACCACGCTTTGCTACAGGGGGTTTTGTCCATCCCCGAGTTTTGGGAAAAGCCAGCAGGGTTCTGTTTCGCCGTTTTCGGCTGGAGCCGGCCTGCGGGGCCGAGGTGGCCCAGCTGTGGTCCTGGCCGGCCCGAAGCAACGAGAGGTGGATGGAGCAGGGGCCCCCTCGTCGCCACGGCCGGGCGCGGTTCGAAAACAGATTGCCATTCTTTTGATCCCGCGAGGGATCAGGGGACCGATTTTGTGCATCAGTGCAACAAGTGATTGCATGTTCTGCATCCTCTCAACAAGTATGCGCTTGTCGGCGCCTTCTTTCAACTATAGTGTTTTCCTTCTTTACTGCTTCGAGGACATCAGACATCCTGTGGCAGTCAGAGCCGGTGGAGGGGACCGATTTTGAGCGGATTTGCTTTCCCCCACCTTTTCGGGGCTCAAGAGACGGGGGTCAATGCAAAGGGGGGTCAGACAGAGCGTCCGATCTTGCAGGATCCTGCAGGGCCAGGGTCGCACTGACCGGGGTTTGGGTGCAGGATCCTGCAGGATCTTGCAGGATCCTTCGCATTGACCCGGGTTTGTGCAGGATCTTGCAGGATTCTGCAAGGCGCCTGACTGACCTGGGTCTGGACTGATGGAGCGCCAGCCGTGGGAAAGGGTCGAGACTTCTTCTGGGGTCCCTGCATAAAGAGCGAGTTCGGATGTTTGATCTCTGAGTCGTGGGCAATGTCGTCGCCGCCGCCCGCCGCCGTGGTGGTGGTCGTCGTTGTGGTGTCGTGGTTGTCGTCGTGGTCGCCGCCATCGTGGCCGCCGCGGTTGTCGAGGTTGAAGTCGACGTCGTCGTCGCGGTGGTCGTCGTGGCCGTGGTCGTCGTCGCGCTGTGGCCGTCGAGGTGGAGTTCGATGTCGTCGTGGTCTTGGTCGCCGCCGTCGGGCTCTCTCCCTCCACCCGCTCCCCCTGACTCAGTGCCCCTCCCTCCCTCCCTCCCTCCTCTTCCGACCGGTCTTTCTCCGCTCCCTCCCCCCCTGCCCTCCCCGTCGCCCCGCAGTTTCAAACCGCCATCAACGAGGCCTGACCTCGATCCTCGGATCGAGGACCGTACATTCGGATCCGAGCATCTTCGAGCACCTCGGATCCTAGATCCGAGGATCGCCCAGCCTGGACTCGAGGATCTTGGGTCCTCGATCCGAGTATCGAGGATCGAGCACCCTCCCCCCCAAGGCATGCTGCGTCTTGCATTCTCCACCTCGAGGCCCCCAGAAGTCCTGACCCTTTTCCCTGTGTCGGCTTCCCACCCCGAACCGTTTCTTGACGGTCCCCAGGATGGGAAGGGGGAGGAGGAGGAGTAGGAAAAGGAGCAGGAGGAGGAGGAGGAGGAGGAGGAGGAGGAGGAGGAGGAGGAGGAGGAGGAGGAGGAGGAGGAGGAGTAGTAGTAGTAGTAGTAGTAGTAGGAGGAGGAGGAGGAGAGGAGGAGGAGGAGGAGGAGGAGGAGGAGGAGTAGGTAGTAGTAGTAGTAGTAGTAGGAGTAGGAGTAGGAGGGAGTAGGAGGAGGAGGAGGAGGAGGAGGGAGGAGGAGGAGGAGGAGGAGGAGGAGGAGGAGGAGAGGAGGAGGGGGGAGGAGGAGGAGGAGGAGGGGGAGGAGGAGGAGGAGGAGGAGGAGGAGGAGGAGAGGAGGAGGAGGAGGAGGAGGAGGAGGGAGGAGGAGGAGGAGGAGGAGGAGGAGGAAGGAGGGAGGAGGAGGAGGAGGAGGAGGAGGAGGAGGAGGAGGAGGAGGAGGAGGAGGAGGAGGAGGAGGAGAGGAGGAGGAGGAGGAGGAGGAGGAGGAGGAGGAGGAGGAGGAGGAGGAGGAGGAGGAGGAGGAGGAGGAGGAGGAGGAGGAGGAGGAGGAGGCAGGAGGAGGCGGAGGAGGAGGAGGTGGAGGAGGAACAGGATGAGGGAGCAGGAGGGGTGGGCTTCTGAAGTCTGAGTCTTGCAGCGTGTTCACACCGGGCGGCTTCGCGGAGGAGGAGCAGGAGGAGGAGGAGGAGGAGGACGAGGAGGAGGAGGAGGCGGTGGAGGAGGAGGAGGAGGAGGAGGACGAGGAGGAGGAGGAGGAGGAGGAGGAGGAGGAGGAGGAGGAGGGGCCGAATACGGCCGAAAATCCCCCGCCGTTGCTTTTTACATGATGCACACACTGTGAACAAATCGCAGCTCTAGGATCTCAGGGTTCTCCGCCCCCCCTCCTCCTTCACTTCACCGCCTCGCCCCAAATCAGGACCGGAACACTTCCTTTTTTTCCGCGCTGTCGTTTCTAGCGCTTCGCGCAATTCGCCGCTTTTTCGGTTCTGTGCGTTGGGCCGCCCGGGATTTAGGGCTGGGACTCCCTGCGCTGGGGAGGGTGGCGACCGAAACAAGCTCTCGGGTTGAAAGCCTTCAGCATGACGGCGCGCATACTGCTGCGATGCGAGTCCGATTGAGTTCGTCTCGGCGCCACCCAAACATAACAAGAGAAATCTTAGCGGGCGCTTGCTGGCCATACCGCCTCGGGAACGATATGTTGCAATATTTCTTTATACTGTATGTTCGGGTCGGACGCACGCCTCCAAGAAGGACGCATAGCACTGGGCCCCAGGCCCCAATCTCCCAGCGAGCGCGGTCGAGGTGCAACTCATCAGACCCACCGCCAACTTTGAACATTGGGGGTAGGGGGAGGCGTTCACAGATGAATGTGGCATGAGTGTTCGCTATTTTTTCCGAGGCCTGTAGCACTGGGCCCCAGGCCCACCCCTCCCGGCGAGCGCAAGGGATGCGGGGCTGCCTGGGCGCTGCGGCCCGCTGCCCGGCGCGCGGACCCGGAGGATGCCGCCAGAGATGGACGCGAGCCTGACGCGGCCCAAGCTGGACGCCACGGCCCCGGGGGGGAGGGGTGCCGCCTCGGCGGTGGAAGAGGAGGAGGAGGAGGAGGAGGAGGAGGAGGAGGAGGAGGAGGAGGAGGAAGAGGAGGAAGAGGAGGAGGAGGAGGAGGAGGAGGAGGAGGAGGAGGAGGAGGAGGAGGAGGAGGAGGAGGAGGAGGAGGAGGAGGAGGAGGGGGGGGAGGAGGAGGAGGAGAACACAAAGGAGGGGGGGGGGAGGGAGGAGGAGGAGGAGGAGGAGGAGGAGGAGGAGGAGGAGGAGGAGGAGGAGGAGGAGGAGGAGGAGGAGGAGGAGGAGGAGGAGGAGGAGGAGGACGTGAGCAGGAGGAGGAGGAGGAGGAGGAGGAGGAGGAGGAGGAGGAGGAAGATTATCAGAATTACTGCCGTGACAGATGTCAATAACCACTTCCGGACCCCAGTTAAACCTTGGAGAAAGATCGCGTGAAATTCAATCGAGATATTCTCGACGACTCTTCGGAATGGAAAAAGGCTTGCACGGCACTCCGAGCCCCCTGATCTGAGACTGTCCGAAGTGGCCGCACGATGCACAATACCAAATTCTGAATGACACGTGATAAAACATTACGTGTGAGTGGTGGGCCCAACCGCCAGCGACATGTATTTGTCGTCCTCGGGGGAGCCTACAAAGCATACCATTAACATTATCCAGCGACATACAATCACTTTTTAGCCAGGCTTTCGCGCTCGAAATGGAAGCGCTCACACTGTACAGGACTTCCCGTCATTCCCTGGAGTGTGTGCCGTCGCGAAGCGTGCCACAATATTGGGAGCAGGAGGGGGACGCGGGTGAGGAGGTGGGGGAGCAAAAGGCGCTCCTTCAGCGATCCTCGCTCTCCACGCCTCTCGCTTCTGATAAGTCTCATGCCGAATGACCAGAAGAGCAGCTCGCAGCAGCCGTCGCCGAATCAATGACGCGTCACGCTCGATTTTGGTCACCCGCGCCCTGTGAGACTCGGAGACCCTGCATTTAGCTGCTGCTACCTCCGCCAACTGGTCGGCAACCTCGTTGCCTTGCACGAGCCAGCTCGCGATGCCACGAGCTAAATACTCCTGCGGGGACACATGTGAAGACACGTTAAGCACAACCACATCAGCTGGGGAACGATATTGACGTAACAGATGACTGTTGATCGTCCTCCACAGGTCTGCATTCTGGCCCACGGGCCTCAAATACAAGGCCTGCCACCATCGTTTACAGACTCCGTCATTGTCGGTGACGTACACCAGCACACCCTCGGAGAACTCGATCGCGGAAGCTCGACATTGAAGCTCACCGTTCGGCACCGTCTGTTGAGGTTACGACCCTCACAACGGTCCCAGGATAAAAAGACCCAGTCCTCACAGGAAACACACTCTGCAACACTGCGATCCCAAGGCCCTCTCGTCGCAATCGCACGTCATGCGAATCGGCCCCACCTGATGCATTTCCACATACCAATCGTGGAGCAGCTCGCGTACCCATACCCACACTACCTGCAGTAAGTGGCCTGTCCATGTTGCCCACCTCCCACTGCGGCTCAGCAATTGGCTCGGGCACCCACGTCCAACTGGTTGGAATGATGCCCCATTGTCCAACAGCATGTGATATTGTCCCGTTCCGATCCAGCTCGCGCCACAAGGTAATCGGAATCGGTAAAAGCACAGCCGCTGTCATTACATGGGCGTTCCCACGTACGATGCAAAGCCGTCTCCACCGACTCATTGCAGCGATCACACACGTCTGCGACAGAACCTGGCGACTTCGCTTAGAACTTCTGCTCCTTGGGCCATGACCAACCAACAACAATATACATACATGTGTACATTTATCATGAGTTCAACGGACTGCCGCCGTTTGTGTACTTGAGACAAGCTCGGCAAAAACTGCCAACAATTCAACGCAACCGCTCCGTCGGCCATGCCTTCCCCACAACACAACTGAGCTGCGTCTGCCTTGCTGCGAGCGACTCCTTAAACTCTTCCTAGGGGCGCAATTTGGTCATGGCCAACAGTCTCAGCCGCGGACAAATTCCAAGCATGGCGATCGCGGGTGCAGTCATTCGTGGCGCCCCGCTCGGCAGCTGAGGATGGAAGCCGGCCCGCCTGAAACACATTGGCGATGATGGCCATGATCGGCCCCGAATGTGCCTGGGCCATTGGACCTCAGACATCCCTGCAAGGAACTGAACCGCGCTGTCCCGCGCGCGCTGGATGCCCGCGCGCAGCCGAGGCTCCGTCCTCCACATCTGAAGCCGCCGAGCAGAACGCTGCCTAGGTGGAGCCAAACCAGGATCTGAACTTGGTGGCCGCGACGCGCGCAACGTCGTCGTGCGCCGACCTCGACGCGCCGAACTCGCCGCCGCTGCAAGTCGACGCCTCCGCTCGACCATGGCCGGCCCGAAGCGGCCGTGGACCTGGTGGCCGTGCGCCGCTGCAGTCTGGGGCCCAGCCCGTTGCGTCTTCGCCGTCGTCTCGCATCGGCGAGCAGCCCTCGCGAAGCGTCGAGGTTTCATGTGCTGGGTCTTCGACTGGGCTACCCTCTTCCCGCCCGCGTCGCGTGCTTGTCTCCTGCCTCCGCCAAGGTCCGCGCCGAGGTGGGCCGCCTGCGTGCGCCCTTGGATGCGGGCGCCCTTGCGCTTCAGCAGCTGCGCGATAGCCTCAGCGTCGGCGCGGTGAGGACAAGTGGCAACCGATTTTCGGCGGCGTCGACAGACCTTGCAACTTCGAGTATTTGGACGCACTATCTATGCCTACGACCGACGTCATGCGGACCTGCCTGCGCGAGCCGACAGTGCGCAGTGATGAATCATCTGTCCGCAAGCCTATCTGATAAAGGTGGACTGTCGTCCGCTGCGGCGCCCCGCATCGGCTCGTCGTCTAACGCCCATTGCCTCGCATGTATTTCTCGCGCCATATTCCATGGCCCGCAGAGCATGGCGACCAAGCCGATGACTCGATCGCCTTTCTATTTCTTGCCCAGGGGGCGCCCAATGACCGTCGGCACTTGCCACGGCCGAGACGAACCTACTCCCGCGAGCCGATGTGGCCCGCGCAATTCGGCCAGCGCGCAATCGGGCAGCCACTCGAAGTCCAGCGACGAAATCTCGTCCATTCCGAGTCCCGCTGCAGGGTTTATCGCAGATGCTGCTTGACGCAGGTCAGCCACTGTGAAAGGCTCAAGTTGTTCGACTCGCGCATGTTCTCGCATCGTGTCGCGCGCTTCCATGATCTCGCGATGTGACAATGCAAATGATTTCAGAAGTTCCTTGCGCTTCGTGGTCCGCGATGTCCACAGGATGCGCGATAATGTCAGAATTCCCTTCCTTTTGAATGTGCAACTCATCCACCTGCGGAGGTGGTACTTTCATGCTGCGGTGTATGGATCCAGCGTAATCAACATATGCGCGCCACTCTTGAAGCGCGTAGCGAAACTGAAGCTGCCCGCGCGCGCGCCTGTCTCCTCGAACCGCCCACTTCCAAGACTTTGAGCCGCTCTAGACTGCTCTAGATGGACCTCTCGCAACCCTCGAAGCTCCAGCACAATGGGCGCCCATGTCCCCGCGCTCGAACTCGGCGCCGCCGAGCTGGCCACAGTGCGTGGTGCCGCGTCCAGTAACCGACCAAGGGAATCACGCAAATTCCCGATTTGCACCGCTCAATTTTTCCGCGATCGATATTGCGACACTTTCTGCAAAATGGTATGCAGACTTCTCCACCACGCTGCTGTTGCATCCGCGACTGGCTGCTCGCGAAAATGAGCTGCTTGTTTGGCTGGGGCGACCTGCGCGTCCCAGCGGCGGGCGCGTGTGCTCTGAGTTGCCTCGAGTCCATGGCGTGAGGTAATGGCGCATTCAACAGTGCTAACCCACGTGGCGCAACGAGTACTCGCACGTAATTTGCATGGCCGTCCAGCAGCGAAGGCGAGAGATTCCCGAATCGCAGGCCAAACAGACAGGAGCGAGTGTGGTTCCCAGGAAGCTTGGGCAATTGGCAGCGGAGATGGGGTGAGACGGAACAGCATCGGCACCGGCAGTAGAGCTCGGAAGGCTCTCGCCAGCTCCGCTGACGTGGACCCCTGAGGACAACGGCTGGCTTGAATGAACCGCGCCTTCCCCCTTCGTCGCTGAAACAGAAGTGCGACCGACGGAGCCGGACGAACATGGATCAGTGCACTCCTGTTGGATGCTGTCCGACTGCTGGAGCACGGGAAACGACGGAGACGCCGGCGCCCGAGATATTTTCAGACGGCGCCGTGTGAAAAAGGAAGACTCGCAAGCCCAAGGGTCCCATTCCTCCTCGGGCCCAATATTTCAAGTGAAATTCAAAATCCTGAACCTCTTCCCCGGCCGCCTGCTGCGGATCGGCCCCAGGATCACCCCCGAGAGCCTCCGGCAGAGTATCGCAGCTCCCAGGAGTTTCCATGGTGGGTTCGGGTTGGAGGAGGTCGGAAACAGTTCAGCGCGCGCTGCTTCGTTTTTCTCACGAGCCAGCTCACGGCGCGCCATCTGCTCCTGCTTGGCGCGATTCGATTTCGACCCCGAGGTGGGCTGAGTCTGCGGCCGACTGGGCTGTGGCAGACGCGGTGCGACAAACAACGCACGTTCCAGTAATTGCAAACTTGATTGATAAAAGGTAATGGCGAGCCCACAATGAGGCTTCCAATGAAAGGATTCCACCGCCTCGACTGACCAGATGTATGGCAAACGTGACGCGCCGGCAAGAAGGACATGTGGGACTGCCCCTTGTTACTAACACATGTGTGCTGTACAGGAGCTCGCGCTACGTGCCTGCCCAGACTCCCGCGATAGCCCATGCCAGTTGCAAGCGGCGAGTGAAAGCACCAAGGCGCGCCATGCGCCCTATGCTGTCGCCGCTGAGGCCGACAGTGCAGTGGCCATAGTACACTATGAGCGCGAAAGAATATCCCTGATGGTGGACTCACTCCTCCTGGGAGACAGAAAGATCCAGGTGTATCTCGAGGCTTGTCAGCAAACCGAT